GCAGGCTACGTAGAATGGCAGATATCACAAACCATTCTACGATCTTAACGCCCGGGTGTGACAAAGATTAGCCTCCAGCGAACTCCCGAAGCTTACTGAACCGCACGCGAATCCACAATGTGTAGGTTAAGCTCACCATTTCCCAGGCGTGTTCGTAGTTTTTCCACAGCTTTTTTTACTCGGACTCGATGGTCTGGGCAGAGGTCTCGCAATACGTAAAACTCTTCTCCCTTAGGACGAGTCCGTCTGGTAATGCGGCGACACTCATCCTCTAGTTGACAATCTCCAGGGGACGAACTTTAGAGGAATCATGTTGCTTTCTGCCGAGATGAAAAGCAGAGACAATATAGATCCCATGCTAACCTTCAACAAAAAGGAAAGAGACCATTCACCTCAGAAACTCCTAGTGGTCTAGGGTTCTTTCAACCGGAGAACCCGTGTTACATTCGGAGCGTTCACAATGATCAAACGACGGTCACGAGGAGTTGGTTTATTGCACTCATGGGGCTGGGACTTGGGAGGTATATTGTTTTCAAGAGCGCTTTCTAACTGGTTTACTGTCGAGGACCAGCTTCACTACGGAAGGAGCAGATTTCTTGCATTTCGGCTTAGCATCACGCTTGGATTGCTTCTCATGCAGATTTACACTTTGCTAGAAGATGCATGTTCTGTATTCTTACTCATTACTGACGTATGTCTTGCCCACAAAGTCATATTTGCCATCAAGTGTTAATGGCTCCGATAGCGGCAAGGGAACCTATTTTGCTTTAATTGGTGTGTAGAGAGCAGGAGCCAGGAGCAAGAGCCTTGTCAGCTCCGACGATCCCGATTCAATGCAGGTTTGACGTAACTGGCTGCGAAGCGGTATTCCTCTGATGATCGTCGCCGTTGCAGTAGGAGCAGCAGAGCCCTATGGTACTCATCAGATGGCAGTCAAGCAGCCGTTTGAAACTTTCCTCTGTCGGTGCATCAGAAATGATCTCCGATAGGCTGTTCCAATCATTCAATACACGAATTGATAGGACAGCCATTGGACGAACGTGAAGTATTTAGCTCTTGTACAACTTCCATTTGTGGCCTCGTATCGAGCCGTCCACGTTGAGCCGAAAGTGCTTTTGTACCTCACGCCCAAGTTCTCCTCTTAGGATCCGTCTGGTGTAGGTAAGATCTCCACGGCGCCGACGATAGTCAATTGGGAAGATGTTCAGCTTTCTGAGTCGAAGAGGGTAAGCAAGACTACGAAGCTCCATGACGGATTTCGAGCGGCGCATCTGAACTCTTTCTAGCATGTCGCATTCAGATTTTAAGAGAGGATAGGTAGCTGGAAGCCCTTACTCCAATATCGGGAGGATATGTGATGTAAACAGAGTTCTGAAAATTGCCGGAGCGATACGGGAGTATGACCACCGTAAAGCACCCAGCATCCTGTTTGCGGCCGCGACCTTTCTCAAGGTGTCTTGGGAAGTTTTAAGGTCATGAGACTATGACCCCCAGCACCACCATCCGAACAGGCCTGCTAAACCACAAAAAGAGCAAAACTAATAACTATGCACCACGGTGTATAGAGCAAGTGCACTACATACAAAGCATATCCAATGCTCAAGTTCAGTTGGGACCGGAACTGTAGGATAATCCCGTGTATGTTCCTACTTTTGCGTATCGTCGGATCGAGAATTGATAGGTCTGCTTGAGACGTTGAAAAACCCAAAAACAGAGACCGCATCACACCCTGTCCAACCAATTACTGCCCATATTTTTCTGCCCAGCAGTCCCTGCCAGACCAGTTTATGTGAAATAAAAGAGTGAAGGGTAAGCTAAGAAAACAAGAGGAATGTCAGATAAATGATAATAGCAAGGTGTGAGGAAAAATTAAAAAACGAAGAGAAAGTTGAAGATTACAAGTCGGTTAGGAGAAGGGGAAGGTTTGGTACTACCACCCAAGAGCATCTAACTGACGCTCGAAATCCTCTGCCGTAGACTCCCTAACGACGTGCTCCGGAAGGGAGTTCCAACGTTCAAAAACTTGGCGCGACAAGCGAGTTTCCGTCCTTACCCGATCAGAACGCAGTTTGTGCAGCTTCAACGAGTGACCTCGGAGACTAGGCAGCTTGGCAGGACTAAATAGCCAGGACAAGTCTGGGCCGATCTTACCCGTTAAGAGGTAAGTGAGGATCAAGTCTCCTATAATTCTGCGGTAGTGCACTGAGTACATACCCAAGCTAAACAAACGTTCGGGATATGTTTGCCCCCGTAATCCTTGCATTAACCTTGTGCCCACTCGCAAAACCCTCTCCAGTTCCATTTTGTCCCTCACAAGACAAGGTGGACAAGCCTGGATACAGTACTCTAAGTGGGGTCGCACAAAAGCTGAGAACAGCATCACAAAATATTGGCCGTTAGGACACTGAAGGAGCGGTGAATAGACCACACCATATGGAACCTTCTACAACCAGCCTTCCTACAATTGTCCCCAGAGTGAAGCAATGAGGTATGGGTGATACCTAGATCAACCTGCTGAGTGACAACAGGGAGTTCATTTCCACCAACAACATAGCGCGTGGGAGGGCTAGCACCTCCAATGCGGAGGACAGAACGTTTCGCCTGATTTATGAAAGAAGAAAGAAAGGTGTCAGCTTATACGCCGTAACGGCGCTTCGCTGCCGCGCGACCACCACCAGTCGCGCGCGGGCTGTGTATACCGCGAGGACGCCCACCCCTACGCGGATTCGAACCGGTGACCTTCTGGTTGCAAAGCAAACGTGCAGACCACTCGGCCACCGCCTGATTTATAGGCATCAGCCATAAGGTTGAACAGTCCCAGAGCCTATCCAAGGCACTCTGAAGTGCCTCAGAGCCACCAGGGATATCCACAATATTCCTGAGCTTGAGGTCATCAGCAAACAATAGCGACGGTACTTAAAGCTCCTGGGGTAGGTCGTTGACATCAATAGCGAAAAGCGACGGCCGTAGAACCGAGCCCTGCGGAACGCCACTAAGAACAGCTTGTCTAAGCGAAAAACTACGCCCCACGCATACACACTGTTCTCTCCCCTCTAGGAAAGCAGAGGCCCATTTAAGGGCGGCTCCAAACATCCCATAAGATCTCAACTTCAATGAGAGTCGTTGGTGTGGAACAGTATCAAAGGCTTTCGAGAAGTCAACGAAAAGCACGTCGATAGCTTGACCGTTGTCTACTGCCTCAGCCCAGTTTTCATGAGCTACAAGAAAATTTGTCAGACATGAAAATCCCTTACGGAATTCGTACTGTTCCGCAATGAGAAAGCTAAACTTAATCAGGTGATTCTCCACTGAAAACCTGACCAATTTTTCAAACAACTTAACTACTACGCTTGTTAAGCTGACAGGCCGGTAGTCTGCGGGCAGAGCTGTCACCGCCTTTAAAAATCGGACATATGATTGCCTTCTCCCATTCCGAAAGTAAGGCACAGCTGTCGAGTAATATTGTAAACTTGCATGTCAGAGGGCCACTTAGCTCAGCGGCCAATTCATGCATCAGTTTCGGATGAATTGGATCACAGCCAGAAGCTTTGGAAGGATTTAGCCTTTGCAACAGCCTGAAGACTTGCGTCTCCATTATGCCGATTTCAGTTAGGCAAGAATCCTCCTGGACTTTTGTGATCAGCTGAACCTGAGGTAGAGGCCACATGAGAAAAGACACCAGTATACTGTTCGCTATGTATACAAGCATTATCATAGTCGGTATGCCCATGGGTCCCGTCCGATCGTAGCAGAGCCGGTATAGACGAGTTCGTACCGCTGCGCCTCTAGGTAAGCAGAACTTCTTTAAATTTGTTACGGCTGCGATAGCTAAATCCTCCTCGTACTGAAGACGAAGATTTATAAGATTTTGCTTACATTTATTTCTAACCGCTAGATAGCTTTCGTAGGTGCTGGTTGATGAAGCCACCAGCGTCGAAGTGTCGGGGGCCGTTTCACTTACCGGCACAAAAAACTGGACGCTCGTTAGGCGAAGGCCTCTATCGCCTGTTTGACCTGACCTGACCTTAGCACTTAGAGCGCTTCTTGAGCAGGTATTTACCCGTATGATCTATCCAAAGAGGCTGGGATGTGTGGAGCAGAGATCTCGGTGAGGTATGCCTTAAATTTCTCCCAGGCTGTCTCAACGGTGTCAGCCACGGTGATCGTGCAACACAAAACTGAGGCTTTGTCTCGCATTGCGTTAAAGTCTGTCCGCCAAAGATTTGGACGCCTCAGCAGTAGCTTGATGACAGTTAGAGCACATCGAAAGGATATGCAGACAAGGTCACTGGCTCCTAGAGGACAGCCGTAGGTAATATCACTTACGAAATCGTGTGACTTCGCAAAAATGAGATCCAAGATAGACGGAATTCGGTTGCGCATATATCTATTTGGGAGGTCCAAGAACTGACGCAAAGGCAGTTGCAATTTTAGCTCGACGAGGTACAAATCGAAAGTGCCCACGGCCGAACTGCAAGATAGATCAGCCCAGCAGACTTCAGGGAGGTTGAAGTCACCCGTTATTAGACACCTATTGGCAGCCTGAGTAGGAATAAATTCAATAACCTCCATGGAGAAACTTCCAGAACTTCGATATACCACAACTGTAAACTGAGCAGAGGATATGCACACAATAGTCGACAGGGCTTCAACAGTTTGATCCGGCGACTGGAACACATAGGTCCTCAACACATCAGGTGTACAACTCACACAAAGAGCAACGCACCCACCTTGAGGGCCAAGGGGTTGTTACTTATTCGTTTGGAACAATACTGTGCCCTGTGTTAAGCAAATTCACACGGTGGAGAATCAGTAAAATCATCTCCTTAAAAACGGATGTATCGGGATGCTGTTAAAATTCATTCGTTAGCAGTAAGTTAGCGTTGCACGTTTATTAGTCGCAAAACTTGAAATAATTGATAACAGTGATCGCATTTGACACGCTACCCCGCTTGTCACAAGTCAAAACACTAAACGCACAAGAAAACACAGGAACGTACGCTTTTGGAGCCAGAATTTACAGTCTCTAAAGTATCCGGCATAATCACGCCGGCCTACGCGAGCGACTGTATTAAACTGGGGACGAGACCATTAACATAGCTGTTCTATAGTACGGGAACTTTGTGGTGCTGTTTCACCGCATTGTGTGCACCAAAAACCCACATTTTTATTAGCTACCGTTTGACTGCATAGTACGGACCGGGATTCTAACCAATCTGTTATGGGCATAATGTAGTTCAAGTTCAAGTGGGACTAGAACGATAGGATGAATCCCGTAAGTGTCTCTTTTTGAGCGCGTCGTCGATCCAGTTGATAGGGGGTGCTCCGACTTCTTGATGGGTCTAAAAGGTAAACACCCGAAAAAAACACCCTGGTCCACCAATTTAATGCCCACGTTCCTTACATTAGCTGTCCCAGCTATGTCAGTTACGTGAAGTAAGAGAAGAAAAAGCGAAGGTAAGAGAGTAGGGGAAATTAGTTAAAAAAAGAGAATCATACCAATGACGAGGAAAAGTAAAAAAAATAGAATCGAATTATGAAGCTGGGAATTAGTCAGGAAAAAGGAAAGGTTTCGAGTTGCCACCCAAGGGCGTCTAGTTGAGGCTCGAACCGCTTAACCGTAACTGCCTTGACTACACGTTCTGGATGCAGGTTCCAACGCTCGATGACTCGACGTGATAACCGTGTCCCCACTCTAACTCGATCGGACCGCGGTTTGTCCAGCTTCATACAATGCCTGCGAAGACCAGACAATCTAGCAGGACTAAATAGAATGGACAAATCAGGGCCAACCTTCCCAGTCAAAATACGGTAGGTTAGGATTAAGTCCCCTCTAATCCTTCGATAGTGCATTGACTGCATCCACAAACTAAGTAGGCTTTCGGGGTTCGTTTGCCCTCCTAATCACTTGACCAACCTAGTAGAGACAAGCAGCACCCTTTCTAGTGCCATTTTGTCCCGGACAAGACAAGGTGAACAGGTCTGGACGCAATATTCTAGGTGGGGTCGCACAAACGCTGAGAAAAGCTTCACAAACGCATCTGCGGTTAGGGTCCCAAAAGAACGACGGATAAACCACAACATCCGGAATCCTTTACTAGCCGCCTTCTTCCAGTTGTCGCCAGAGTGTAGTGTGGAACAGTGGACGACACCTAGATCAACCTGATGAGTCACGTGAGGAAGTTCACTCCCATCGAGCACATAACTTGTAGAGGAAGCAGACGCTCCGAGTGTGGTTGGAATGGTACGCTATGCTAGATTCAGATGGACTGGAACGATGGGAAAATCCCTTGAGTGTTCTTTCTTGTGCATATCGTTGAGCCAGGTACTGATAGGGCGCTAGGTCTTGATAGCTCTAAAACGAAACACCCGAAACACACCATCATCAACCAGTTACTGCCCACATTCCCTGTACTAGCAGCCACCGCTGTGTAGGTTACATGAAGTAAGAAAGAAGTAGAAAGTAAATGGAAGATAAAAGGGAATGAAAGTAATTTAAATGAAGGATAACACCAGAGAGTGAAGAGATTGACAGAATAAAGCTGAAAGGTTGAAGATGGATATGGTCAGGAGAAGCGAAAGGTTTCGTGTTGCCACCCAATGGCGTCTATCTGATGCTGGAAACCTTTAACCGTAAGTTCACTGACTAGACTTTCTGGAAGCGAGTTCCAACGCTCGATAACTCTACGGGGTAATCGAGTTTCCGCCCTGAGCAGGTCAGAACGCGGCTTGTATAGCTTCCTGGGATGACCGCGAAGACAAGACAACCTAGCCGGGCTAAATAGCGAGCCCAAGTCCGGTCCAACCTTCCCTGTTAAAATGCGGTAAGTAGAGATTAGGTCTTCTCGAAGCTGTCGGTAGTGCGTGGAACACCTACTCAAGCTAAGTAGACGCTCTGGGTACGATTGCCCTTTAAGCCCTCGACCAATATGGTACATACTCTCAAAACCCGCTCGAGCTCCATTTTGTCCCGAACAAGGCAGGGCGGGTAAGCCTGGACGCAGTATTCCAGCTGGGGCCGAACCATAGCTGAGAACAGCTTCACAAATATGTCGGCATTTAAGACCCCGAAAGAACGGCGTATTAACCACAACCTTCTGAAACCCCTACTTGCGGTCTTCTTCCGGTTGTCACCAGGATACAAATACGAGGAATGGACGACGCCTAGGTCTACCTAGTTGGAGACAAGGGGAGTTCGACCCCACCGAGTACTAGCTCGAAGGCGGGAAAGTTGTTTCTATACGAAGGGCGGAACACTTAGCCTGATTAATGGGCAGTAGCCACAAAGTAGACCAGTATTAGAGTCTATTCAGCGCATGCTGTATGGCCTCAGACCCCCCAGGAACATTTACAACATTCCGTAGCTTAAGGTCATCAGCAAACAATAGGGATGATACCCCAAGCTCCTCAGGGAGATCGTTTACGTAGATGGAGTACAGCCTCGGTCCAAGGACCGAGCTCTGTGGGACACCGTTAAGGACCGCTTGCATAAAGGGTATGCAGCGACCCACACGTAAAGTTTGGCTCTCTTGATTGTTAAGGTTTCAAGGTGTATATTAATGATACACATGAGGATTTGGTATACGTGGGATTATAAAGGGTTGTCAACGTTACGACTGCTGTTGTTGTTTAAGTGGACAACAACGTGAGGTATCAGCTATGGAGGGTCTTTAAACCTTTCAACCTGGTGGACGGGGAGGGCTAATTTCTGTATTGGCGGGAAAGCGTATCGCTTACATTGTCCTCGATGTCATCCACGATAGTTTGATTGGCTGCATAGTATATTCTTAATTCGGATGGTATTGCGGTGTGGAAAATAAAAGATAATGGTATGTAGATTTGCTTCATGAAAACGGTTATGATAAATTAAAGTGATGCCTTCAGGTGTGGTTGAAGGTCACGGCGTAATCGAAAGCAGGCGAATGGTAAATGCAGGCGAACTGTGAAGGGATGTTTAGTGGAGCAAATTAGTGTTAATGCAGTTGAATTATGTATGCGAATGTTATGAGTGCATGAAGCAACTGGTAAAAGTAACTTACTTCCTTAGATTAGGGGTATTTATTTCTCTTCTCCGATTATTTTATATGTTGTAGTTTTTGAAATCACGATGAAATATACGGCGCTTGTTTTCCAACGTTGTAGTACTGGTAATGCAGAAACAGAGGAATAAATAAGTTCGTTGCAGAGGTAATTTTTGGTTAGAAGGAATGATGTCGTTGAAAGGTTGTATGAACCAATAAGGGGAACATTTAGGGGAGTGCGTAACGCGCTTATCTACCCATGAAATGCTTCTACTCTTCGTTTCGTGATCTAGTCTACAGATCTTGGCCGATCGTTGATGGATATCGACCAGCGTTAACGTGCGCCTCCTTACATTCCCATTGTTAGCGTTGTAAGTGTGCCTGTGTGTACATGCTAATCCCCGGCACTGGTTCCGTGCGTGTGCGGTTGCCGACTACCTTGGATCTCCAACCCTACTCTTCGCCGAACATGACACGTTCAGCCCGGAGCATGTGTCGCACCCCCACCCCCGTTCACTGGTCGCTCGTCCAAACACCATGTTTGTGCGTGCCATTAAACTCTCACCCTGTGATTGGACCATCCTTTGATTGGTCAACGCCGTCATTCTTAATAATCGTAGCACTCAGGTGTGGGGACTTGTTCCTTTGATTGTCCGGCGTAGACAACTCGTTCCCTCCTATTGTTTACTGACACCTTGTTGTCAACTTGCATACACCGGGATACTGAACCATGGAAGTATGTCCCAATTATCAACTGTATATATTTTAATAGTACCGTAGTATTTGTGATCCAACTTGTTTTGATTTCGGGATCTTTGGCTACACGTCATTCAACGTTCGCGGTGGACGTTACAGTATTCCACTGGTTCTCGCTTCGGCGGACTGCTTAATTGGATCCCTCGGGTTAATGGGACTCGTATCCGGAAGTGCCAGCTTGTTTCCTCTTCGCAATGCCAGACAGTTGGTCGTTACTGGAGGGGACGTGGTGCACGGTCCTTGTGGTCATGTTAGGCTCGAAGTGTGGTTTCATACACTCAGTGTGAAGCGGACTACGGTCCAGCCACCGCGTTGTGAGTGCTTGGTTCCCCAAATAGAGCGTGCTTGTGTGTTTCTCTGAAGGAGTGTGGGCCGGCTCCGTGGATGAAACGTGGCTCCCATCCTCATGCATCCCGGTCTTATTCCTTCGGGTTTACACTGGATATGGGGTGTGTGGATGGAGCTGTGGGGGGTGCAGCGCAAGCCGTCCATGGTCCCTCTGTTTGCGCAGACATCCTGTGGCTGTCCAAATTGACAGTCAAATCCGTAACTTGATGTCGCCAACCATGTATGTATGTGTGCTCCATGCTGAGGCTGAGGTTGCATTCTTGATGCTTCTTCACCGCAGTTGGGTTTAAACAATTCACACTTAAACTAGGTTTTTTAAGCTGGATAAATTTTGTTCCACTTACATTGGTTTATACTGCCTACCCGATTAATCTTGTATTAACCGGCTACGTTGCTTACGCTAATTACGCTTATGTTCGGTAGCTGTTACGTTTGCAGCATTTCTCAGTAACTTGTGGACATATTTTCCTTAACGCGGATGCTTTACTAACCAACTTACTTCATATGGTAATTTAGCGAAGAGTTGTGCCACCGTATCTGTATGCATTTTTGGATTTGTTTTATTTCATCTTGTCGTTTCAAGTGATTGGCTGTTTCTTGATAGCCCCGGTGTGGCCGCGCTTGATGTGTATGTTGACAAGGTGCCTACCTGTTTATTACCCACTACTTCGTCCATACCGGCTCACGGAGACAGTTGGTCGTTGCTGGAGGGGGCGGGGGGCACGGTCCTTGTGGCCGTGCTAGGCTCCAGGAGCGGTTCCATGTAATCAGTGTGAAGCGGACTACGGTCCAGCCACCGTTTCGTGTGCGCTTGATTCCACAAATACAGCGTGCTTGTGTTTGCCTGTGAGGGAAGTTGGGTCGGCACCGTTGATGAAAAATGGCTCCCATCCACATGCCTCCCGCTCTTGTTCCTTCGGGCTTACACTGGATACGGGGT